TGTAAATGACGGATAATGAAATCTCGATTATCACTTTATCATGCGAGAGTATAAAATGTTCGGTGACACCCGAACTTAGCCCTTCCTTACTTGTTAAATATTGATTTAAAACAACTGCAGGTTTATCAGCAATATCTCGTTAAACATTTTGTAAACTTCACCTACAGCTGTCCATAAACAATCTTCATGGTTCAGCTTTGTTCCTTGAGAACCCCAGTCTCATTGCAAGGCTTGGCACGCTCGGTTTGTTCAGAGCTTTCACCTGTATATTGAACTAATCAACGGTATAATCGACAATGAAGTTTTTATTTATTTTATTTAGATAACTCAAATAACATCTAATTGACGAAAGCATATCGATGTTAATCATAAATAATACAAATACAGTAATTGATTTTGACACTGAGTATACTAAAATAAATTTTTTTGGTTATTATCAATAGATACAAATCTGATGCAGTAAATATATTTTATTGGCGTCACCATCTTTTAAACTTTGTATATGGACATTTGCAAACCACAAACGAATAATTATGTTTTCTTAACACACAAAATTCTTTTTTATCCAGGTTTTCAAAGTACCAAAATTTCATTCAAAAGCTGAAAGCTCTCATGAAGCAATTGACTACAAGTTTTGAATTCATGCATGTGTCGAATAGTTTTCATCCTAGTTGCCCTCTTATAGAAGCGTAGTATTCAGCGAGACATGTGTGAGATAAAGTTTCTAGGAAATATTTGTATACACATTACAGAGTAGTTGCCACTATATTATAGATTAGTGGAAATATAAACTCTTTAAAATTTCATGCTGAGTCATTTTTTAAAATGGTGCGAAAAAATACGCTTACATATCTTATACTACTTTATAAATATTATGTATGTAGTTGAGGCAATCGAAGATGCTCAAGGCATTGTTGTTCCAATGATAAACACACTATGCGTACTTCTCAGTGAGATTTCACCACAGAATCGGTATGCACTATATTTGCATCATCTAGTGTATAAATATACTTAATGCATTTTGCTACATAAGCTCATATGTATGTATGTAGATGATATATGTGTACACAGCTAAATAAACCACCGCTGAGGTATTACTACAGCTAGATTGTTGCGGCATTTATGTATGTGATAAGAACCTTTAAGAATTACATCAGAATATATTTAGTGAATTTCTAAATGTATGGAAAGGTATACTCAAACATATAACAGAAAAGAAAATTAATCGGTAAACTGATATACGCTATGGTAGTTCGAGTCATATATGGCCCGCCCTCTATAAGATTAAGGTACATATCTCCTAAACCACTAAAGCAACAACAATCAAATTTACTGAGTGAAACTCTTTTAAGAGCTCCTCCCAACAATGTGAATTGGAGTGTAACCCCGCTCACTCCCCATATTGTGGTACTGTTTAAAACTACTTAAAGCGCGATAAATCAATAAATAAATACACCTAAGACATTAAATTTTACCTGCGAAATGGTGTAACAACAACCGGAATGTTTTACGTAGGTAACTGCTGACGACAGCCTTACCCCACGGTACTCAAAAGTACAACGGATCAAATCAATACGTTGATCAGCACCCAATTGCCAGTGTGAAATGGACACGCTAACCACCTTGGTAGGGTTCGAGGCCCATCTAAAACCTCTGCTGTACTATGGGTCAGGCACCCGATTGCAATGCAACTCCACATCGAACAGACAAAATGTCAATTCTACCCGCATTTGGGTATAAACCACAACCACCACGATACTCCCCGAGGGGCCAGTCCGAATGAGCAGGTTGGAGAACCAGAATTGGCCAGTGGTGTAACAGGGATTTAATGTAGTTCGGGTCAAAAGTTGGACTATAGTCTTGATACCGTCCACTTTTAGTCGAAAACACATATCCCTAGACTCGCCAGAACGATTTCAATAAAATTTAGTATGCGGCATTCCTATGACACTTTTATGTGTACAGTGTGAAAACGGGCGAAGTCGGACTACAGCCACGCCTACTTCCCATATAACACAATTTTAAATTCCATCTTATTCGATTAATTCCACGTTTTCAAATCAAGAAACAATCAATATAACTGTGTAAAACTTTGCACGAAAAAGCCTTTAAAGTATACCACGTTATGCCAAAAATTGTTTAAGTTTAACAAAACAGGTGAATCCCTTAGATACCGAATA